AGGTAGCTGCCTGGCCACCGCAGTTCCGCCTTTCTCTATCTCTATCTTCCTATTAGTACTTTATTGTTATTTCCAGACTGTTTTGGTCTTGTCTTGTTTTCAGCACTATTGTAGCGTTGCTCATGACTTAGTGACATCCGAGGTCGGGCTTGTATTTTTCATTTTTTTTGACTTTTACCTTATATCTTTTATCAGATTTCAGTTGGAAATATGATTTTACTTAAGGTTAAAATGAAATATGGGTTATTTGGAAATCAGTTGGCTAGCCTAGTTTCACGATAGGCGTCATCACGATCAAGTCGTTTTTTGGGTCGTGATATTTATATATAGTAATAAATAATATTCTTCCTTATATATATCTAGATACGTCAAATAAAATATAAAAATTATAAAAGATCTTTATCATATAATAAATAAATGTTTATGGTAAGAATCCTACTTCTCAAGAACATGAAAAAGAATGGGCACATTTAATGCTAAGCAAAAAGAAAGCTTTTCCCGTTAGCTAACATATCCATATGAACACGCTAAATTGAGGCTCACTCTACCCGAAGAATTAACCGCCCAAAATAGAGTCCGAACCCAATTGTGGTTCTTTTGGACTCAAAATACATAAATAGGTGATAAAAAAAGGTGATATTTTTATATATAGTGTCACAATACTTGGCGCTATACATTAGTGTTAACTGTGCCGTCAATGTATAACGCCAAGTATTGTGGCACTATACTGAAAAAGCTGACACGTCCAGGTATAGCGCCAAAATACCTGACGCTATACACTAATTTTTATATATAGCGCCTGGTATTTTGGCGCTATACTCCTTTTTCCTAGCCCCACCAATAATTCCTGGCTTCAATGATTCAAAAGCGTATAGCGCTATATATATATAAATTCCCGGCTAGCCATTCCCTATATAAAGAGGTTAGGATTGTATAGAAATTCATTCAAAAAAAATTTTAACTCTTGTTGAAACGTTTATTATTGTTAAATTCTCCAGCATTTTTTCATTATGTCTGAAGAGCATAGAATAAGAGTTTCATTATATTGGGGGGTGAGGTTGTGATGGAGAATAACTCCATGGGCTACAGTTTACCTGCTCAGTGTCATGTTAAATTGCCACTTACAATGGAGTACAATAAATTGATATCGTTGTTATGCAAAAAAAATGAGTGTGAGGAAACGTTCAGTGATACTTAAAGTAACCAAAAGATATCCGTATTCCGTCACTCCGCAGGGGGTTGCTTTTTACTCGAAGTTTAACATCGACGATGATGAAACTTTGAGTGATTTACTGAGGACTCCGGACGAATGCCGGGAATTTCTTGTAATCACAATGTTGGAGATGTACGTGAAGGTCGAAGACGTTCCAAAAAACGAGGTTGTGCGTAGTAGAGACAACCCCCAGTCATCGGATGGTTATTGTGGAGCAGTTTTTGCCGGGAAGGTTCCGGATGAAAGAGTTTCCCTTGATTTAAACTTATCACCGCCGGTGAATGAGCAGCGAGAAAATAATTTATACCCTACTTTCCATAATTCACAAGACGAGTGGTAAACTTCAATTTCATTTGTGTTAATTATGTATATTTTTGGCGTATTGAATTTGTATTAACGCTCATATATTTAATAGGGGGCACCGGCCGGATATGAATTTTACAAGTGGCCCATCTGGTAGTCATCACCTAATTGAAATCGTCCATCATAAAATTTCATCACATTACAACTTGTAAGTAAAGTGATATAGCCATATGGAAAGCATTTATTAATTCAGTAGCTTATATTTTTGTTGATTGTGCAGTGAAAGCGAGCAAGTTAAACCACCCGTACTCACTCAATTGACCGAAAACGACGTATTACATCGGGATCTGGCAGATGTACAGAGTGAGGAATAGAACAGTGATTACGATAACAATGCCGATGAATCCAGAGACGAGACACCCTTTCCTCGTGAGGATGGTGATGAGCAGGATGAGGAGGAAGGACCTGATTTGAAGAGAGACCCCCCTAGACGAAGAGTGTACGAGTCCGAAGTGTCGTTTCATTCAAGGGAGATTCTTTACATTGATAACTTGCCAACCATGCCGGATGTGGAAGCTCTTACAAGGGATTTTGATGAAATCCGGACAGCAATGTGGGATGAGTCTAGACCAATGGTTCTTGCAAAGGGGATGCTTTTTCATGATAAAGCGCGCTTAAGCAGGGCTTGTAAAATGCACAACGTAAAAGAGTGTCTTGAGATGTAGGTACGGGAGTCAAGTCCGATGGTATACAAGGTTGTTTGTCGCAGGTGGTTTTGACCATGTAATTGGATGTTGCGTGCGACCAAGAAGAAGACATGTATGTGGAAAGTGGGTAAATACATTCGCACCCACACATGCGAAATGGACACATTCAACGGGAATCACTTCAACTTGGATATTGACTTGATTTCTCTTGTACTTATTCCGCACCTCGAAGCGTCCATAAGGTATACAATCAAAGAGTGCATTACATCAGTCCACCAGGAATATGGCCATACCATTACGAAAAGAAAGGCATTTCTCGGGCGCAAACAAGCGTTTGAAATTGTCTACGGTAATTGGGATAAGTCATTTACATCTCTGCCAAAGTACATGGCCACACTGCAGCACTTTAACCCCGAGACAGTTGTTGCATGGAAGCTTGAGCAGAGTCTGGGAACACCAGAATGCATATTCAATTACGTGTTCTGGGCGTTTAATCCAGCAATTGATGGTTTTTCGCATTGCCGGCCTGTAATATCCATAGACGGAAGTCATGTCTATGGAAAGTACGATATCAAGCTATTGATAGCCGTGGTAGTGGATGTTAATGGACATATATTTCCTCTAGCTTTTGATGTTTGTGCCAATGAAAGCACAGAGACGTGGAAGCTATTTTTGAACCACCTGAAAGAGCACGTTGTCAAACAGCGTTTAGGTATTTGTCTAATATCTGATCGGCACGGTGGTATATTAAGTTCTGTGGAGAACCTGCCTATATGGCAAGAACCTTATGCATACCACTGTTACTGTGTGAGGCACTTGAAGGCCAATTTCCAGAAGGCACATCCCAATAAGGATCTATATGATTTGATGTGGATGGCAGCAACAGACCACCAACAACATAAATTCCAGAGGCATATGGATTCTATCAGGCAAGAAGATGAGGCAGCTTATCTTTGGTTAATGCGACATGACCCCGAAAAGTGGACGTTGCATGCGGATGGTGGTAGACGATTGGGGAATTCTTACTACAAACGTGTCAGAGTCCTTCAACGGGTTATTGAAGTTGGCAAGAGGATTGCCCGTCACAGCCATGGTGCGGATGTCATTCAAGCAGATGGCGAAGAGGTTTGTTGAACGATCTGCAGCTGCAACGGAATTGATGGAGATGGGTGTTGAATTTATGACAGTGTCTATGAAGAGATTTGAGAAATACAGACGACGAGCACATTGGCATTCATTTTTGCAGTATGATAACAAAAGAGGTGTTTTTGAAGTTCGCACCGCTATCCATAATAATCGGGGTAATAATGTACGTACTGTAAATGAATCNTGACTCAACCTCTTCGTCCACCAAAGTGCAACTGTGGAAAAGCATGCTTGATGCAAAATTGTTGAGACGGTGGTGAAGTTGGACACCGCTACTGGCGCTGTATGAACCAGTTTTACAAGGTTCCCGGCGAACCTATTTGTGATTTTGAGGAATGGGTTGATGAACCATGTTATCAGGAATGTTATAGAGAACAACTGTAGTTTCTTCATAATATGTGTTTAAGACAATGGGAATATGAAAAAGAAAGCAATAGAATTATTGCAGACTTGAGGGCGAAACATAAGGAGGTGGGAGAAGAAAAATGGAAAACACAATGGAATTGTGAAACACAAAAGGAACGTAAAAAAAATATAAACTGGAACTTGCGGAGGTGAAGGCTAAACTGAAAGAGGTAGAAGAAGAAAAAGAACAACTGGAAGAACGAT